TGAGTGCTGCTGGTCCAATGTCCTCTGCCAGCTCCTGCAGCATAAGTGGGGGGTTTGGTGCTCCAGCCCCTTCCCTGCAGCAGGCTGGAGTCCAGCTGCCCTTTTGGAATTTTCCCCCACCGTTACCTTGCCTGTTGCCCCACAGGTTTAGCCTGAGCAGGCGCAGGGGTCCCAGCCTGGTGCTGCGCCCACAGTGCCTCAGCCCGGAAAGCGAGCGCTCCAGCAACCATGCGATCCATGACTACCTCCCACTGGTAAGGACCCCATACCTGTCCTCATCCCAGTCCTCATCCCCATCCCACCGGGGGCACCTTCCCTGCTGGGTGCCAGCAAAGCCACCCAGGTTATGCCCAGCAGCACCAACAGCAGAAGATGCAAACCTAGTAGGTGCCTGCTCAGCCCTGCTGCATCCTTGAATGTCTCTGAGGATCTTGGCTGGCATTTTGGGGGGCACTAGATTGTCTCTGTGCCCCAGGACACTCCTGCAGCCCTGCCTCCCCCTTGCAGGTGCAGCTGCAACAAGCCAGGGGGCCATTCCAGCTCACCGAGAGCTTCTCCGAAGTGGTGCAGATCCCTCTGGACCGCCTGCGCCGGGCCTCCCCCTACGCCTCCCACCGTGCCAGCCTCAGCCCCGTGTCCCCAGGGGCCAGGAGCAGCCCTGAGGCAGGGCCCACTGGCGAGGAGGGCGAGGAGCCCACCACAGACCCACAGCCCAGCTCGCCCCCATCCCAGAGTACTTGCTCCGAGGTGCCCAGCGCAGCCGTGTGGGCGCAGGCGGACAGTGGGCACGGCTCCGAGTCCGACACCTGCCCCCACTCAGCTGCCCCCTCCGAGGCTGGTGTGAGCTGTCAAGACATGGGGCTGGAGGACCTGGAGAGTGCCAGCTGGGCCACAGCGGTGGCCTTGGCATGGCTGGAGCATCGCTGTGCTGGATTCTTTGAGGAGTGGGAGCTGGTGGCGGCCAAGGCGGACGCGTGGCTGCAGGCACAGCAGCTGCCCGAGGGGGTGGACGTGGGCTGCCTCAAAGGGGCAGCCAGGCACTTGTTCCTGCTGCTGCGTCACTGGGACGAGAACATCAAGCTGAACATGCTGTGCTACAACCCCAACAACGTCTGACAGCCGCCCGAGGGGCCAATAAAGACACCTGGCTCCAAGCCACCTGCACTGGCGTCTCTCTTACGGGCAGCGAGTAGTTGGCTCCATTCAGGCCACACCAGGGCTCATCAGAATCCTGGGGGGGGTCACCACCTTCCCAGCCATCTACCATGGCAGGGAGCAGACAGGGGAACAGGAAAAGTTGTCCTGGAGGGATCCCTGGGCTCCATCAAGGCAATTCAAACCTTGAGGCAAAGCTGTTCTGCAGATCCTGTGTTTTAACCCCACCCTAGAGGCTGCTTGCCTGCCCTGGGCACCCCTCTCCCTGGGCTGGGAAGGGAGTGCCCGTGGCCCCAGCAGCTGTTCTACCTTCCCCCAGGTGAGCCAGGTCCAGGGACTGCTGTTCTGACACCGTCACAGCACAAGGATGCTGGGGAAGGGCACATAAAAGCCCCCTTTATTGTGGAAGTCCTGCCTTTTGGGGGTCCCCACACCACCCCCCTTTGTACAGTTCAAGGGCTCATGGCTCTCCTGGGATGGCTGTGGCCAGCCTGGGAGCCGAGTGGGGAAAGAGCAGGCAGAATTGGCAGTCCCAGAGGCCAGTTCCCACCGTCTGGCCTTCCACACTCTCACTGGGCTTTCTTGGATGTGGCTGTGTGCTTCCTGCTCGATGTGGGGGTGTGTGACACCAGCATGGGGGCCGTGCCACACCAGAGCTGGAGCAGGATGAGTCCATGGCAGATGTGGAGGGAGAGGGAGCTGCAGACTGTGGAGGGGTAGGTGTTCCAGCAGAGCTCGATCACACCCAGGAGCAGCACCCTGCAGCAGAAAAAGCTGGGGGTCTGCATGGGGGACACATATGAGTCCCCCTTGCTCCCAGACCCCCAGCAGCTGGGTGCTCCCCCTCCCTGGCAGCACATACTTGGGCATGTGAGCGAGCTTGGTGGTTGGGGTGCACCAGAGTAAGTAGGGCAGTGTGTGGAAGTACCAGACGTAAAACTGGTAGTGCAGGGAGCGGCTGCAGCAGATACCCAGGAAGTTGGAGGAGAAGAGGATGAAGACAATCTGTGCACTGGCATTAAGGAGGCAAACATGGGAGGCTGGAGATGTGATCCCACAACAGCTCCCCAGCCATCCAGCACAGCTCCTTCCCCCAGGACAGGCTGGTCCTGGCAGCACTGCAGGACCTGGAGTATGACCAAGGTCCTCCCTGCCTTCTCCCTGCCCTTGCTGCCCACCCTGCCAAAGGATATCATTGACCGTCAAGGGAGGGGATGGGGGTTTTCTTTTGGCAGGATCCTTCAGCAAAGTCAGGATGCTTTCTTTGGAACTGAGGGAGAAGCACAAACATCAATCTCAACTGCTAGAAAGTCTCTTCCACCCCAACCCTCCCCTGTAAGCCACGATGCCTGGGCAGCATGCTCCCCAAAACAGAACAGCAACACCCCCCCATTCCCGCCTGCAACTCCAGGACTGGAGCATTGTGGGGGCAGGTGAGTCATGGATCTGTATCCTGTATTATGGGGGCTGGCAGGGACCAGCACCCAAGGGAACCCCAGGTCTCACCTGTGCCACCGGTGAAGTGCAAAGAGCCCCAGGCCAGCCAGGTGAGCCAGGAGCAGTGCGGCATGGAAAGCCCGATTCTGGAAAACCTCTTCTGGGAGGAAGCGCCAGTTCACCGTCCATTTGAACTGAAACTGGCGGCCCAGGTCAAAGGAGCGGGTCAGGTACCCTATAGGGTTCTCCAGGAGGAAGGGCAGCCCCAGAACCACCTGCCAGGGACACACCAGCACCATGGCAGCAGCCGTACGCCAGGTCTGTCACCCTGTCACCTCCTCAGCGCCATGTGGGGCGACAGGGACACTCAGCCAAAGACGAAAGCCCCGTGAATTAGATTATTTATCAACCCCCAGCTCGCTGTGTGGGGCCAGCACAGCTGCTGGTGCCACTGTACCCAACCATGGCTCTCCAGCCTGGCAGGATGCTGTGACACAGGCAGGCAGCCCACTATTTCTTGCTGCTGCAGCCACTGCAAGCAGGGACCCACCTGGAGCAGGGCACAGATGCACAGCTTGGGGATACAGCCCAGGAGACCGAAGCGCTGCAGGAGGAGGAAGAGGAGTCCAGGTGCAAAGAGTAGGATGTTCATCTTCACAGACACAGCCAGGCTGAGTGGGAAGCTGTGTTACCACTGCGGACCCCACATGGGAGCCCAGGCAACCTCCGAGCCCAGCACAGCCTCCTCCCCAGGGCCCAGCTAGCTCAGGCCCCCAGCACAGCATGGAGATCAGCCCCCAGCCCCTCACCTGAAGAGGAGGCAGCCCCAGGACCAGTGCTCCTCCAGGAAGAGGTTGATGGCGAGGAAGAGGATGGCCATGGCCACGGGGTCGTTGAAGAGCCGCAGTACAAAGATGGAGTGGATGCGGTACGAGGCACAGCACATGAAGAAGAAAACGTACGGAGGTACCTTGCAGAGGGCAGAGACACACAAGGGTCAGCAGCCTGTCACTGAGCCCCTCCAAATCTGAGACCCCTGCCCGTGTTGCTGGGGTGAGGACTCAGCAGTGCAGGGCAGGCCCTGAGGCGGCCGGCACAGGCCCTGGCCCCAGGGTACCTTGTTGGTTCGGCAGTAGATGCGGAAGACAAGCAGGAGGTTGAGCAGGTAGAGGGCAGCGAAGAGATACTGTGCCAGGCGGATGTTGGAGCCGCGGCCCGTAGCATGGTACAGGCCCAGGAAGATGTAAACGAAGCCGGCAGGGTAACTGTGGGGAGACAGGAGTGAGGGGCCGGGCCCTGCGGGCCCTCCCGGGAGCTGCAGGTCACGGGGAGCTGGGTGTCCCTGTCACTCACACCAGCGGCCCTGTGTCACCCTTCAGCTGGGTGTAGTCCAGGGTCCCGTTGGCGAAACCCTCCACCTCCTGCATGTAGGCCTTCCAGTCGATCTCGGTGTCTGTGGGGATGAGGGGGGGAGTTCAGGTGGGGCAAGGGGGGCCGAGGAGCACTGCAGGGGGTGTGGGGGCTCACCTACCTCCCGACCTGCCAGCCTGGCCCTGTGCCTCCATGCCACGCTGCCAGCCCAGGCTCTGCCCCCCAGGCCCCAGCCCCATCCAGGGCCCCAAGCTGACCGACCCCTGTGTGTGTTGCTGGACTCCCAGCCCAATCCTGCATCCCTCCCATCCCATCCCGTCTCATCCCATCCAGGACCCCCAGCCCAACCCTGCATCCCCCTCTGACCCCTCCAGGACCCCCATCCCATCCCTCCATCCCCCCCCATCCCTTCTAAAACCTCTGGCCCCATACAGGGCCCCCATCCCGCCCCTGTGGCCACCCCAGCCCCTTCCAATCCAGCAATCCAGCAATCCAGCCCCTTCCAATCCCACCCCAGCAATCCGCCTCTGCATCCCCCCCCCGTCCCACCCAGGAGCCCCAGCCCGCCCCCCTGTCGGGGGATGCTGTCCCCCGCCGGGGCCGGAGCGGCCCTGTCCTCCCGCCCTCCGCGCTGCCCCAGGCCAGCCCCCCCTCGCCGCCCCCGCGGGGCCGAGCTGTCACTGTCACTGCTCCCGCACCGCCCCGCGCTGTCCCGGACTGGCCCCGCCACCCCCGCGGGGGCAGCGCCGCGCTGGGCCGGGCTGGGCCGCGGCACTCACAGGGCACCCTGCGGATGACCCAGAGGTTGACACCGCCCTCGGCCAGGCAGAGGCAGGCGGCCACCAGCGGGGTGTAGCGGGGCTCCAGCAGCGCCGCCCGCCGCTCCCTCCATGCCCGCCGCAGCGCCGCCGCCCCCCGACCCGCCGCCATGCCGCTCCGTGTTTCCGCCCGGAGCGCTCAGCGCGGCGCACCCGGCGCGGGCCGGAAGCCGCACGTGGGGGCGCGGGCGGCACGTGGCGCTCGGTGCTCCCGCCCCGCTCCCGGGCATGGAGCGGCGGCGGCGCGCGCCCGCCGCCAACCCCCGGTACGGCCGGCGCCGCTTCTGGGACGCGCTGTACCGGCGGGAGGGCGCCGAGACCCGCGAGTGGCTGGGGGGGCTCTCACGGTTCCTCCCGCAGCTGGAGCCCGAGCTGCGCCCCGGTGATCGTATCCTCGTGCTCGGTACGTGCCCCATGCCCGGCGTGCCCGGTGGAGGGCGGGCAGAGCGCGCGGTCCCGCCGGTGGATGCGCTGCTGCTGGCCGCCAGGGGGCGGTGCGTCACCGAGCCGGTAGCGGGGGCTGCGTCCGGCCCGGCCCGGCGGGGCCGGGGGTGCGGGCGGGCGGCAAGGGGGGCATAAGCGCCCCGTAATCCCACCTGCGGGCTGATCCGCCGCCGGGCCGACGGGATTAGGCGGGTGTAATCACCGATCCTGTTAGCGGATCAGCCGCTGCCAGCTGCGCTTAATAGCTCCCAAATCCGCGCCCCCCCCGGGATCCCCCCGGTCACTCCGTGGAGCGGCCGAGCCTCGGCGGAGCGGCTCTGAGAGGAGGGTATGGGAGGGGGCCTCTCCCAGTGTTCTGCTGGACAGGGTGCTGTTTCCTGAGACAGCAGTTCTTCCATCCTTCTGTCCTTCCATCCCGGTTAAACCCCCCCTCCGAAGCTGCACGCTCCACTACTTTCCCACTGGAATTTCTCAGCAGCTTCTTAGAGGGCACAGCCGACTCCTGCCCTATAGCACTGCTGGGGGGAGGACTGGGGACACCCCCTGCCCCCTCCCTGCCTCCAGCCTCTCCACGTATCCCACTGCGAGGTGTGGGGATCCAGTGTGCGAGGCTGCCCCGGGACAGGAGCCCAAAGCACCCATCTTACAGGACGAGGGTAATTAATAAATAACCCAGCACTCACTAACTGGCATCAAAGCAATGACCTGCCCCTCTCCAGCAGCCCCAGCCCACCCACACCCTTCCCTGGGTCCAGAGGAATAGAGTTGGGGTGCCAGCCCCCCCCCCATGGGCATCCCGAGCCCCGTGGTGAGCTATGCCCCACACAGGCTGTGGCAACAGCGCCCTGAGCCACGACCTGCACGAGCTGGGCTACACCAACGTCACCAGCATCGACTTCTCGCCCGCCTGCATCGCCGCCATGCGCGCCCGCTGCGCCCACTGCTGCCCCGGCCTGCGCTGGGCCGTCATGGACATCCGCGCCCTCGCCTTCCCAGATGCCTCCTTCGACGTGGTGCTGGAGAAGGGCACTCTCGACGTGTTCATGGTGGAGGAAACCGACCCCTGGGATGTCTCGCCCCAGGCAGCTGCCTCAATGCACCGGGTGCTGGCGGAGGTACGGGGTGGGGGGAGCTGAGCAAAGGGGCAGAGGGTGGACCCCACCCCTGTTTGGAGTGGGGGAAGGTGCAGAGTGCCTGCTCACATCCCTGCTTCCCTGTGGGTGCCCCAGCCAGTGGTTCTGCCCTGCCAGTTGGTGCTGCCCCCTCAGCTATGCTGCAGGGGGACACCTGGGAGGCTACCAGCACCCCTGGGGGTGGAAGACCCCCACTCTCATCCCCCAGCACCTCCTTCGCAGGGAGGTGGATGGAGCAGCTTGTGTCCCTGAGTTCTGTTGAGGGACTGGATAGCCCCTGTCTTTATTTGCACCCTAAGTATGAAGAGTTGGCAGGAAAAATGAGCCCCATCCAAGTGTGGGTGGCAGCAGGGGATCTGGGGGGACATGCCGAGGTGGCCCTGCCTGCCCAGGGCAAGGTGACGACTGTGGGGCTGTGACGAGCTCTCACCCCGCCCCAGCTTCGATCTCCTTAGCCGGGGTCCCCATCATCTGGTCTGGGGTTGCCATGGCAACTCCCGTCAGCATCGACGGGGCCATGGCGTTGCCACGGGGACAGGCGATGCCTCGGGGCCCCCGTTAATTGGCGGTGGTGGAGACAGGGACTGGATTGAACCTGCCCTGGCGCGGGGGTGCAGGTCCTGACAACCTCCCCTCCCCTGCGGGAAGAACTGCCAGGATAATTAATTGCTGTGCCTGCCTGGCACCCTGGGGTGCAGACACGGGGTGCTGGGAGGGTGCTCATGGCTGTTGACACCCCCTCATCCTCTCTTGCCCCACTGAGCCTGGGAGGGAGTGGGACCCCCAGCAGGGCAACAGGGCTGTGCTCACCATCCGTGCCCTGCACTCCCTGCCAGCTCTGCTGCCTGTCCTTGTCATTTTGCCAAACGGCAGGGATTTAATTTTCCCTTTTTTTTTTCCCTTTTTAATCCCCTGCTCAATCCCTGCCCTCCCCCAGCTTTGCTGGGTACCAGCCTCCACCCGCGGCCGGTCCCTGCTGTCCTCATCCCCAGGGGGATTCGCTGGGTGTTCCCACTTGCTTGCTGCTTTGGGGGTCCCATCAGAGGGGCCTGGCCAGGGCATCTCCCCTCCTGCCCCCATCCCATTTCTTGTGGGAGGTTCACAGCGTCTGTCTTGCTCTTGCTCTCCCTGGGGAGGGGACATAAGGACCCGAAAATCCACCCTGCCTGTGGGGAGTCCCCTGGGACACCCCATCCTGGCAATCCGGGGGCAGCAGGTGTGGCGGGCGCCGGAGCGGGGAGCAGCCCCCGCAGCCCCCTTTCCCACCCCCAGGCTCTGGCTGGCGGATGGAAAGGTTTCCTGTTCCCGTCTCTAAGCAACGGCCGTTATTGCTCTATTAACGAGGGATGGGATGCGGACATGCGGGATGCCTTGCTCGGCTCCAGCCGGAGATCCCTGCCTACCCCCAGCCCCGGGGACCCCCCTCCCCCCTAATCGGTTGGGAAGCTCTAGGGTCTTCCCAGGGCAGATTTTCAGGCGCTTCCCAGGAAGGATAATGAGCTGGGTGCCTGGGGAGGGATGCAGGGACCTGCCTTCCCCTTTTCCTGGTCAAAACCACTAAGGTTTAGTACAAAATCCACTATTGCAGCAGGGCAGGACATGCAGGCTGCCTGTCCCCTCTGTTCCTGGCCCCAGCCAGTGCTGAGCTGTGGAGCTTCCCAGCAGGATTAAATCAGAGCTTGGGAAACCCCCCACTTGGCCCCCAGCCCTCTCCCCTGCAGCGGTGACTCTCTGCCCTTGCCGGGGGGGCCTGGGGGTGTCCCCGCCTGGGGCAGGGTGGCCGGGGGGGGGACCTGGCCACCCGCCCGCCTTGGGCAGTGCCTTTGCATGCAGAGCACGCAGGCGCTGGCCGTAAAAGCCTTTTGACATTGGATAAAGCCAAGCAAGAAAATTGATGTTCTTTTCCATCCTGTTAGCGGGGCTTAATTCCAGCAGGGAGAAAATGGTGATTAAAAGGGTTGAATCCTTTCCCATCAAACACCTCTTGCCCTCCCCCCTTAGATTCTGGGTATTGGCAGGGGGTGGTACTGGGTGCCACAGAAAGGGGTGGGTGGGATGGGCATCCCATGCTGTGCTGAGGGGCCCCTGAGCCCAGGAGGGCAAAGCTTTTCCCCATGGCAGGGTTGGGTTTCCATGCTGTCTTCTGTGGGTGGGGATGAAGAGTTTTGGGGCATGTTCCTTATTACCACCAAGCTGTGGGTGGTCTGGGGGAAGGTGTGTCTCTTGGAGGGTCAAGGTTAGGATAGTGGATTTTGGGGTGCAATGGGAGAGTTTTGGGGGGAGATCTTTAGCAGATGGTGCTGGGGATCCCTGGGAATGGAGCCAAAGGGGTAAACCTCACTGTGTCCCTACACCCCATCCCGGGGGTTCTCTTGCCGCAGGTGAGCCGGGTGCTGCGCCCAGGGGGCTGCTTCCTCTCCATCACCTTCGCCCAGCCCCACTTCCGCAAGCCCCACTATGCCCAGGAGGCCTTTGGCTGGTCCCTGCGCCACACTGCCTGCGGGGACGGGGACGCCGGCGCCTTCCACTACTTCCTCTACATCATGCGCAAGGGGCAGCCTCTGGACCCCCGTGATGTGGCCTTGGGGCGCCGGCTGCACCAGCCCCCCCCACCCCCTGCCCCACCGCCGCCCCCCGCCCCCCTGGACGACGACGAGGACTACCTCCTTGCCATCCAGCTGTGACCCAGGGGGGCTTCCCCGACCTCTCCCCACCCAACAAAGCCTTAATCTGCTCCATCTTCACGGGCGGGGGATGGGGAACCAGCGTATCCCCCCCAAAAGCTGCCCAGGGAGTGAGTAATGGGGGGATACTTGGACTCCTCCTGAGGGGCAGCGGGATGCTCTGGTGATGCTGTGCTCCCTCCCTGGCCTTTCCTCGCCCGGCTGGAGAGCAGCCAGGACTCCGGGCTTTGCGGCCGGTAATGAAACCAAATCGGGTTTAATTCCACCCATCCATCTTGCGGGGAGTGGCTCCCTGCCCCCCCATCTCTTCCCCTTGGCACAGGCAGCTGGGCTAAGGGCAGAATGAGGATGCTGGTGCTGGGTGCAGGGGACAGGACGGGGGGTGCCCACTGCTCCACCCCCCCCACCCCATTGTGCACCAAGACCCCTGCCCCAGCCTCCTTGGCTATGGGGGTGTGCAAGGACACCGTGTCCTTGTCACCCCCAGCCAGGTGGTGGGGGGTCCAGGCTGGGATGTGCCAGCATGGGGCAGGGAGCACCACGGGGCAGGCAGGGTGGCACATCTGCCCCTGTACCCCTCCATCCCCACTCTTTGGCTATGGAGACAACCCCAGTGCGCTGCACACGCCTGGCCCACATCTGCCAGTGCCTTGGGGCCAGCAGCGCGGTGACAGGCATGTGCCAGGGCTGGTGACAGGCGTGCCACCGTGTGCTGGCAGGGCTGGCTGCACATGGGTGCCAGTCTGGCAGGTGTAGGTGCTACCAGGGTGTCACCAGGGGCTCTCTGGCTACCAACGCTCCCTGAGGGGGGCACAGAGGGGACCCCTCCTCGGCAGGGCAGTGGTGACAGACCACAGAGGCGCAAGCTGCTGGGCTGCTGTTTCTGCAGAAAAGTGTAAGTGCCTCAGCCGGTGGCTCCCCCCGCACCAGGAAACAGCAAAGGGCTCTGGGGTCAACACCCCACCACTCCCACCGTGGCACCCCATCCCGCAGGCACCCTGAAAACAAGCTGGCAACACGGAGGGACAAAAAGGAGCAGGAAGCTGCCGGCCTCACCTCAGTACATGAATGTATTTTATTCATCGCATTTTGTTCACCAGTACAGTGAAAAATGGCATTTAAATTTACAATGGATCATTCGTAGAACATCATGACACAAGTATCTTTTTTTTTCTTTTTTTTTTTTTGAGTTTTTTTTCTCAGTTTTTTTGTTTGGTATTTTTTTGTTGTGTGGTTTGGTTTTTTTTTTTTTTGCGTCGTTGTCTCCATAAATGCCACTCGTAGGTTATTGAAAAAGATGATGAGTTTCTCATGCACATCAGAACCCCCCGAGAAGCTTCTTAAAAATAAAATTAAATTAAAGTACAAAATTAAAAACAACGACTCAGGACAGTCCCTGCCCTCCCCACTTCCCCCCCAGCCCCACCACCCTCAAGCAAGGGGCAGTGCTGGGACCCCCCGGCACCTGCAGCTGGCCCCGGTGGGCTCTGCCCCGGTGCTGCCTGGAGGGAACTGCAGCGGCTGGTGGTGCTGCCAAACCCTCCGGTGCTCCTGCTGCTGGCAGGGGGTCGGGCTAGGGGTCCCTGCTCTCCTCCCTGCTCCTTTGGCTTTCCTCGTGCTCCCTCCATCACTCTGGCCCCCCATCTATTTCTTGCCCTCGGTTTTTTCTTCTTTTTTTGTCTTTTTTTTTCTTATGGAAAAAAATATGAACCTTTTTTTGTTGTTTGTTTTGTTTGTTTTTGTTTGTTTTCCTGATGCGGTTACTTCGACATCTCAACGTCAGCAGATTGTTTTTAACAAAGATTCGGATATAAAAATACAAATATGAGGAGTTTCTGTTTAAAAAGAAGCGTGCCGGAGTGGTGGGGCTGACCCTCGGCCCCCGGGCCGGCCGCCCGGGCCACCAAGCTCATGCAAAAAACGATGGAGCAAAAAATGTCTCTGGACAGCAGCGCTCCCCCCGTGCTCGTGGGGCCGGGTCGCCCCGGGACTCGGGGACCCTCCGCCAAGGAGGATGGGGGGGATGTGCCGCGGAGCAGGGGGCTGGACACCTTCCCCGGGGAGAGGGGTCCTCGCCCAGGGTGGGGGGCTCGGCGGGTTGTCCCAGCCCCGGGGGGAGGCGGAGGGGTAAAGTGCATGGCTCGGGGGGGGTGGTGGTGGCTGCAGGGCCCCCCCCCGGGCCGGGGAGGGGGGCAGCGGGCATGGCCTCCCCCTCCTCATCGGCGGTCCAGCCAGCATGCGGGGCGGCGGGCTGGAGCGGGGCTCGGCCGGCGGGTCCTGGCGGCGGGTCCCGGCTTACACCCCCGGCGGCGACTTCTCCGTCATGCCCTTGAGCACCTCGTCTATCCGGTCATCCTCGATCACCACTGCGGGGACAGGCGGGGGGCACGTGGGCGAGGGGACGAGTCAGCCTCTGCACCCCCCACCCCCTGGCTCCATGTGTGCCCCCCAGATGCTGGGGAGCAGGGCAAAGGGGGTTCAGATGGGTGCAATGAGGGTGAAGGAGAGGGGATCACCCTCCCCCCACCCGGCTTGGTTAGGGGCAGCATTCCTCCCTGCAGCCAGCCGGCTGCCTCTGGATGGGTGGTTAGGGAAGTGGGGGGGCAGGAATAGACCAGGAAGGACCCCCCCCCTCCTCTCTGCGGCAGGCGCTGATGAGAGCAACAGGACTGGAATGGGTAATGACCCAGCGGGGGGGGCACCGCCTGCTCGGCGGGGGTGGCAGCCAGACCCCCGTCAGCACCACCCGCTGCACAGGACACCCACCCCCACCACCAGCATCACAGGTGGGGGAGCCGGACAGCCTCCCACCAGTACAGCGGGCTGCACGGACCCCCACCATCAGCATCACCATGGGAGGCTGAACAGCCCCCCCATCACTGCCACCTTCCAGAGAGCCCCTTCTCAGCATCACTCACTGAGCACCCCTCTCCCCCCGCATCAGCATCACCGGTGGGAGGCCGGACAGACCCCCATCAGCATCACCATCAGGGGGCTACACACACACACACACACACACACACACACACACACACACACACACACGCTCCAACATGACGGGCTTGGCAGGTGCCTCCCATCACCATCACCCTGGGGGGTGAAGGACAGACCCCCCTACCCCAACATCACTACCGGTCCGTAACCCCTCATCACCACCCTGGGGGGAGATTGACCAGACACCCCCCACCTGTCACCAGCATCACTGGGAGAGCATCCAGACCACAGAGGGAGAACCATCCCCCCCCTCCATCCCTGGAGGGGACTGCTAGACCCAGCCTCCACCACCGCAAAGGGGGGCAGTGGAGCAGGCAGTGGCTCTCCCTTCTGCGGGGCTGGGGTGTATTTGTGCTGGGGTGGGGGGGCTCTTCCCCCCCCACCTTGCCTCTGCAGCTCAAGGAGGGGTGTTTGCCTATGGAGGTCCCCCAAGCAGGCAGGATGGGGGGCTGCAGGAAAAGTGGGGGCCATTCTTGAGGGTCCACAAAGCATCAGGGAGGATCAACAGTGACAGATCAGGGTGCACGGGGAGGGGGGGCACTTATTTGGGTCCTGATGGAAGCAAGGGAGACACTGATGGGGGTCTCCGCAGCAGGCAGTAAAGTGGGGAGGGCAGGACACGGGTTCATGGAGTCCCGGGGGGACAGTAAAGCGGGGGGGCGTGGGGGTGAGTGTTTGTTGATCAGCATTACCGGAGACTGTTGATGGGGTCTCTGCGGCAGGCAGGCAGAAATGTGGAGGGAGAGAGGTTTAGGGGGCCAGGGGGGCTGTTCCTGGTGATGATGGGGGGAGAGAGTGGGCTCGTTTATAGGGAATGAGAGGGGGGCAGTCCCAGGGGTACTGAGGAGAAGTTCTGGGGGGTCCCGGGGGCACTGGGGGGGCAGCCCCAGCAATGACTGGGGACAGTCCCAGGGGCAGCCCCAGGGATGCTGCAGGGTAATCCCGGGGGGAGTACCGAGACGGGGGGAGGTTGTGGGGCAGCACTGGGGGGGACAGTGCTGGTGTCTGGAGCAGGGGGTGGGGGGGCCTGTGGTTTTGGGGCAGTGCCGGCTGTCAATCGCAGAGCTGGGGGGGTCTCAGGGTTGTCGGGGGGCAGTGCTAGAGTTGATGTAGGGCAGAAATGGAGATTCTGGGGATGTGGGGGGCAGTGCTGGGGATACTGGGGGAGCAGTGCTGGGGATGCTGTGGGGCAGTGCCAGGGGTGGCAGGGGACAGTGCTGGGGATGCAAGGCAGAGCTGGGAGTTGCAGGGATGCTATGGGGCCGTTCTGGGGATATAAGAGCTGGTGTCAGGGGTACCAGAGATGCCGTGGGGCAATGCTAGAGATGTTGCAGGGCAGAGACTGGGGATGCTGTAGGAAGAACCAGGGCAGAATTGGGGTCCTGGGGATGTTGTGGGACGATGTCAAGGGGTGCCAGGGATGCACTGCCCAGAGCCGGGAACGCTTGGGATGCAAGGGCAGAATCGCGGATCCTGGCGATGCTGTGGGGCAGCGCTGGGGATGCAAGGACCAGTGCCGGGGGGCAGCACCGGTTGTGCTGGGGCAAAGCCGGGGACGCTGCAGGGCAGAGCCGGGGATTCCAGGGCAGAGCCGGGGATCCAAGGACAGATCCGGGGATGCCGTGGGGCAGCGTCGGGGATGCAGGAGGCAGTGCCGGGGATGCCAGGGATGCTGCAGAGCAGATGCAGGGGTCCCGGGGATGCCATAGGGCAGCGCCGGGGATGCAGGAGTCAGGACCAGGGATGAAAGGACAGATCCGGGGGGCTCGGGGATCCCGTGGGGGAGCACCGGGGAGGCAGGAGGCAGCGCCAGGGTTGCCAGGGATGCTGCTGGGCAAATCTAGGGGTCCCAGGACAAAGCCGGGGATGCTGCAGGGCAGATCGGGGGATCCCGGGGATGCCGTGGGGCTGAGGCGGGGGTCGGGAGGGCAGAGGTGGGGGTCGGGCGGTACCTCTCTTGGCGCGGCCGATCTGTCCCAGCTTGGGGGGCCGCTTGCCCTGGTTGCCCGCGAAGAAGGCGTTGGTGTCCTGCAGGCGGCAGCTGAAGGGCAGCTCCCCCGCCTCGGGCTCGGCGCCGTAGCGGCCCACCTTGTCCTCGCCGTAGGGAAGCACCTGCGACATGGCGGGGCCGAGCGGGCCGAGCCGCGCCGCGCCGAGCCGGGAGCCGGTCTGCGGCGGCGGCGGCGGCGGCGGGGAGGAAACCCGGGCGGAAGGATGAAGTCATGCATCCGGGGGGAGCGGGGACCCCCCCGGCGGGGGGCGGCTCCGGAGCGCCGCGGCTCGGCCCGACCCGGCCAGGACAGAGTCGAGGGACCCCCTCGGTCGGTGCCCGGTGGCCGCCCGGTTGGGATGGAGACCCTCCCAGCCCGCCTTCCCAGCCCCTGCTCCGGCCCCAGCGCAGGGTGGTCTCCCGGGCACAGCCCGGCTGAGGCTGTCGACCCGACTCAGGCATGCCCTCAACCACGGGGTGCTCCTGTGGAGAGGGGAGCCCTTGGCACACCCGGGTACCCCCGGATCAGACAGCTGAGGACCACCAGACACAGCTGGCGCATAAAGGTGATGCCAAAAAGATCCCCTAACACCCTTCTCCAATCCACCAGCTCCCTGCAGCCCAGAAGGCTCAACCTCTCAGAATCCCACCCCGTGTCTCCCCAGCCAGGCTATCCCCAGCCCATTACTTGTGTCTCTTGGCCTACATCCATCCAGGCACCCTCTCCTGCAGGCTTCCTGTGTTGGGGTCCCCCTTTGGAGCCACACCGGTCCTGCCCCAACTCCTACCAGTCCCCTTAACACCCCACGTGTGGGTCTCTGCACATGCGTTTGTACACATCTTCCCATCGCATGCTTTTGCAGGAAGGCAAGGGCACACAGGTGTGATTCTGCAGGAGTCTGTGAGTGTGGCCATGTGGGGACTGTGGCCCAGAACACTCCATGTTACACGGCTTGGCCCTTCCCCGTGGGCTCTCTGTGGACAAGGGGAAGGGCCATCCCCTGTGGGGACCTGCCATGGGTCAGCAAGGAGTGACCCCATTATCCCAGCAGAGCCATGTTCGCATCCCTTCTACACACCTCTGCCCCAAACCCACCCTGACTCTGTCCTTCTGCATTTTTCACTGCCAGGGTAGTGATTTTACGAATTGGCACCAGTGGTCCTGGTCAGCCTCACCTGGGATTCCCCCCATTCGGGTCACCTGGGGCTGGGGTGCTATTTAAGCTCAGACTGAGTCTGCTGCACCTTTCCTGAGCCCTGAGTACAACCCTGACCCCTGGATCTGGGGATGATGATGACAGCAGCAGCTGTGGCTGGTTGGAGACGACCACCCTGACTTGGAGCAGCACTGTTCCTGTTGCTCCCTCACATCTGGGCCCCACGGCTTATGTGGGAGTCCTGGGTTGCAGGTAAGCCAGAGCCCTGTGTGGAAATGTCGCTTGCCATCTCCAGATCAGCCCTATGAGAATGTCATGAAGTGTGAGGGGGGTTTTACAGACAGTTCTGTGGTTCATCTCTCTGTGCCCACATCCCCATGGCCTGAGATCCTGTTGAGAGGTGCTGCAGAAGGGCATCAGCCGGAATGGTCCATGACAGTGGGCAGGTACTTCTATTTTGGGAAAGCTCAGCCATGTTTTACCTTTGTGTCTGGCTCTGCAGAATGTTGGTCCCTACTGTCCCCCACCAGAGCCAGGTCGGGGCAGTGGTGCCCGCTCTCCTGGCAAAGAAATGCCTTTATTCCTGCCTTTGCTGGGGAACCAGGTTGAACTTTTTCATGTGAAGGCTTCTGCTCCCTGTGAAAAGTGCCTGGGAAAATAGGCGAGGCCCACGCTGAGATGTGGCCTGCTTTTCCCATCGCTGAGCCCACGTGCCACTGCCCGTGGGCAGGGACCGGCAGGCCGTGGCACACGCGGGGCTGGGGGTGAGCGAGAAGAGGAGCAGATGGGCTGTGTGGGATGTGAGTGGCACCAGTGCAGTGCTCCAGGAGGGTTTCCAGCCTGGCAGGCTGCTGGGGAGAGGCTGGAAAGGGGTCACCCTGGGAATGGCCCCACTTATCCCACACCTGTATCTGTTACAGTGCCTTGCATTCAGGGGAACTACTTGGCTTGGCTATGGGGTGGGGGATACTCTGCGGGGCTGTCTGGGATTCTGGGGTGTGGGAAGGACCCTCTGCCCATCCTAGGCAGGAAGAGGGCTGGATTTGTGCCAGCACAGCTGGGCTGTGGGTGGGACAGGGCAGTGCTGTGTCACGCATCCCTGGGCAGATGGGGAAGGTACCAGGGACCTGAATGTGGGTGGCTGGACAGTGGGATGCATGAGGGACCCCCCTCATCTCCTGCCATTGCAGATAGCATCCCCCCTAGTGAACCAGACAGAGCGCCCTCCTTCCCCTGGCTCTCATCCCACCTTCGTTATCCGCCTTTTAGCAGCCACGTAATCTCCTTTCTTGCTTCCTTTGCAGCCTTTTGTCCGACACAAAGCCAGCTCCAGAAGGAAGTAGGGGCTGTGGGAGTGGGAAGCAGGTGGTTTTTCCTGCCCTGGCTTCTTAAACCTGGGCAGTAGCCCCTGAACTGGGACACCTTGGGGGTGATGCAAGGGCTGGGGGCCAGCCATGCCACCAAGGGTGGATATGGGGCTGAGCGGGGGGCACAGGGCCAGATCCTGGCTTCAGTTGGTCTGGGAGTGGAGGTTGTGCTGCGTTGCTTGCACTTGGGCGATGCTCTGAAAGCTCACTGCCGTGCCCCAGCCCCACACCTGGATGCTGCCCCTGAGCCCTGTGCCCTTGGTGGGAATTGGAGTGCCTACTCCAGGTGCTGTGATGGAGGTGAAGGGTTTTCCTGCAGTCACTGGTGCTTAAAGTGGTTCTACAGTGGAAAATCACCCTGTGTGTGTGCAAGTGGCTTGTGGTGGGACATGTCATGCCCAGGCTCTGCAGGGACCCCTGGGCAGCTGGAGTTGGACTGGATGGGAGTGCCTGGTGGTCCCCAAGGCCTGACAGGGATGGAGTCAGTGGCCTGGCAGACAGTTACTGGATGTCAGGGAGCTTGGAGGAGGTAGGAGGCATCAGCCACAGGATGTGAGGCTTCCTTAGCTGCAGGTCTGGGAGGCAGTCAGTGCTGTCATTGAGGGCGGGTGCCACGGGGCTGGGGGCTGCTGAGCCATGCCAGGAGGCCGGCGCGGGTACCTCCATCTGTGCTGCTTTGAGCCCTGCCAAGAAATGTGAAATGGCACTTCTGCTACACAGTGGTGGCAGCTGCAGCCTGGAGGCCCTATCCAAGTGCCTGCTGCTGGCACTGCTGCTCTCCCTGAGCCCCCATCCTGGTGTGAGGGACTAGGTCACTTGTAAGGCTGGGGATGTGCCCATCCCTGGCTGTTGCCACTGGGTCTCAGTAGCCAAGGCCCAGGTGGGAATGCCACTTTGTGTGCTGCCTTTGCCATGGTTCGGGTCTTTTGGGGGAGCAGAGACACACACCGGGGCTGGGTACAGGCAATGGGGATGGATGACCATGTGGGACGGTGGTTGTGGTGACCCTTTGTCACCGTGAGGAGATGTTGGGGGACAGGCATCCTGCTTGGTAGCTGCCCCATGGCTGAGCCTGTGGCAAGTGTGCAAAGGTGGCATGTTCCTCATCTTCTGCTGTCCCTGCAGCTGCTGATGTGGGAAGACAAGGCCAAAAAGCCTTTCCTGGAGGGACAGTGCCCTTCCCAGGGAGGAAGAAGAGGTGGTTACTAGTGAGATGAGTTTGTCTGTCTTGGTGCACAGCCTGGAGTTGGGAAGAGGGTACCCTGAGTGGGCTCCAATTGTGTCAGGGCAGGAGGATGGCACTGCTCCCATCCCTCACATGAGCTGCTTGGGGCACAGCTGTGGTCTCAACATCTGAGCAGATGGAGCACTCTCAGCATGCTGCATGGGGCAGAGATTTCATGGAGAGTCCCCTGCCCAGACCTGGGGGTGATGGGGAGAACAGGAGGGTGGGGGGAGCCGACCCTGCTGGGCAAACAGCCCTGCTGGGGTGTGAGCTTCCATTCTCGCCTGTCACCACATCTCTGGTCACCATGACAACAGACAGGGAGGCAGGTGGAGCAGGCTGGCAGCCCTGGGGGTGGGGCGACGGGTGGAGGCCACGGGCACGGGCTGGTACCCAGGGGGATCCTGCGGGAGGGCAGCTGTGGGGATGCCTGGGTCTCTCATGTGGACTGTGTGCTGGGGAGGGAGGCTGGGCAGCGCTTAGCCCAGGCACTGAGCGCTCCCTGCTGTCCTGCTCCAACCTGCCCCTGGGGGGCACACAGCAGGTTCATCTGGGGGTGTGGGCACTGCAGCACGGCTGGGCAGCCCCTGTGCTGGGGCTTTGGCACGGCGAGGCTCTGGATGGCTGTGAGCTGAGCAAGTGAGTCATGCTGCTGCCCAGAGCCGTGCCAGGCAGGGCTGACAGCAGGGTGTGCAGCTGGGCCGCTGCCGGGCTGGTGGCCTCCCGAGGGTGGTGGAGACCTCGGGGAAAAGGACAGGCCTGTGCCCCAGCACGGGGGGAGGCAACCTCCCTGTGTGCCGCCAGCACAGGGGATGTGTTCCCTGCCCCGGGTACCTCTGGGGGCAGAGGGAAGCAGAGGGGCACGGGACCCTCTCTACCTGTCCCATCCCCGGCTGGCTGCTGGGCCCCGGGGAACGAGGTGAGCAGTGTCTGGGAGCAGGGGCACCCCCCGCCCTCCCCGGCCCACGCGCCCACTCGTGCCAGCAGCTCTTGGCACGCGGGGAGTGTGTTCCTGGCAACCCAGCCCTCTCCCATCTGGTATTTATCTCTTTCCCGAAATCCCTCCTGCTGTGGGGGGGATGCCTGGTGCAGGGAGGGGGGGGGAGCTGGGCCCCACTGCTCACTCTGCAGCCCAGGGAAGAGGCCAGGCTAATAAAATGGGGGGTGGGAGGTGGAGAAGAAGAATTCCCACACACCGGCCCACCCCAAAAATGCACGTGGGTCCCAGGAAGCTTCACTGGGTACTCTGGGGCTTCACATCTGGCTGTGAGCCCTGGGGGCAAACCCGCAGGGGCACCTTTGCCCCAAGCAAGCCCCCAGCCCGACAGCAATGCGGGGCACTGCCCTGGGGAGGGGGTACATCATTACCCTCCAATCCCAACACTGCTGCCTGGCTGACAGTGGCCGGCCAGCACTGCCCCCCACCCCCAAACCCTGGATGCCCCAAAGCTGCAGGAGCCAGGAGAGCCCATGGGTTGCCTGGGCAACTGCAGCCAGGCAGTGATGGGGAGCAGTCCAGGGAATCGGTTGCCATGGAGACCCGAGAATTGCAATCACCTTGGCAACAGTCTTGTGTGTCCTGCCACCCCCCATTCAGGGCTGCATCCTGAGGAGGTGCACCTGGGCTCCTCTGTGCACCTGGGCCAGCTCCCTGGGTGGGCAGGGAGGCAGTAGTGCCCACCTATACAAGGTGACAGCTTTGGCTCCCAGTGCATCCCCCCAGCACCCACCCAGGTCCATGACTCAGAGGCACAAAGGAAGAGGAGAGGCCGAGCTTGGCTCCTTGGCTTTATCACTCCACATACCACTGCAAGCCGTTCCTGCACCTGGTCCTGTCCAGGAGGTGGGCAGGAAAGCTGGGTACAGCAGGGCTGGACATGAAGGCAGGCTCTAGGGCATCCCAATGGTGTTCTCCCACTCCAGAAGAAAAGTGGAAACCCTGCAGAGGGACATAGCCCCCCTCCCGGGGTGGTAGAGCAGCTGGCAAAGAGGCTCATCGTTGCCAGCCCCTAGGTGTCCCCAGCGTAGTCTGGGCAGTGGCTGTAGGCACAGGGATTGGGGTGGCAGGACAATAGTGGCACCAAGGTGTGCCACTGCAGTGGCTCAGGGGGGTTTGGATCTCTGCTATCCCACTGTGCCTGCTGTGTCCCACCAGCTCTGGTCTTGCCCCCATCATCCTCCCAATAAAACCACATGCTGGAAAAAAAAACATAAGGGAGAAGTCCTACATGGCTTTGAGTGGGTCACAGCTGGGAAAGGGGCACAGGTCCAACAGCTGGCAGCCAAAGGAATGCCCCAGCATGGGGCTGGGGTCTCAGCTCCTCAGGACAGGTGTTGTGTAGGTTTTCCTCAAGCCTTCATGTTTAGGGGGGGTCCCTCTGGCAGACAAAGGGAGGATGAGGAAGCTGTAACTCCCCCTGCCCTGCCCTCCCTAAGGCAGGTTATGGGGCACACAGGACCCCTCCCTCCCAACAGAAATCACACAACTGCACATGAGGGGACAGCTGAGATTTCTGCAGGCTGCAGGCTTGGCTTGGTTCCCACTGCCCTTCCCTGGGCACGCCCAGGTGCTCTCACGCCTGATAGAGGGGCACCACACGGTCAATGGGCCCCCTGCAGATGGGGCAGAGGTGGGTGGGCAAGGCCTGGAAGCAGCGGAAGCAGCAGCAGATGTGGCCGCAGCCCAGGAGGACGCACTCGCGGGGCCGTGCCAGGCAGATCACGCAGGAGTCCTCAAGCGCCCTGTCCCCGGCCTCCTCCTCATCCAGCTCCTTGTCCTCCTGCAGCCTCTTGGGGCGGGAGCGGCGGTAGGCGCGGCACAGGGCGTGCAGGAGCACAGCCAGCCCTGCCACCGCACACAGCACTGCTGCCCCCTTCCAGAGCCCACTGGCCGACTCCAGCTCCGACAGCACCGTCTGCCAGTCCCCAAGGCACAGGAAAAACTCGCCCCCCCAGGCCGGTGGCTGCAGGTGCAGGGAGCCGTCGGGGTGCAGGGACAGCTCCCCAATGCCTGTCAGCCCGGCCCCCACCCGCAGCATCTCTTCCGTCTCCAGGATGCCCTTGGGTTTCTCCCCGATCAGGTACTGGCCTAGCAGGTCACGGAAGCCATGGGTTGGCTGCTGGAAGCGCTCGTACACCATCTCCAGCGGCAGGCAGACGGCCTGGAGCGGGCTGTCCACGCTCACCTGTGTCACCGCCTCGGTGCCTGGCGAGGCCAGCAGGAAGGGCACGGTGTAGATCTGCTCCGAGAGCACCCGCTCGCTCTCGCTCCTGCAAGCAGACAGGGTTGAGATGTGGACAACAGAACCACAGAATCAATTAGGTTGGAAAAGACCTCAGATCATTGAGATCAATCTATGACTGAACACTACCTTGTCAACTACACCATGGCACTAAGTACCACATCCAGTTTTTCCTTAAACACCTCCAGGGATGGTGACTCCACCATCTGCTTTCTGGGTGCAGCCTATTCCAATGTGTAATCACCCTTTCTGTGAAGAAATTCTTCCTAATGTCTAACCTAAGCCTCCCGTGGTGCAGCTTGTGGCCATTTTCTCTCATCCTGTTACTAGCTGCCTGGGAGAAGAGGCTGACTCCCATATGGCTACAACCTCCTTTCAGGGAGTTTTAGAGAGCAATAATGTCACACCAGAGCCTCCTTTTCTCCAGGCTAAACACCCCCGCCTCCCTCAGCCCCTCCTCATCAGAGCTGTGCCCCAGACTCTTCAGCAGCTCTGTTGCCCTTTTCTGGACTCACTCCAGTACCTCAATGCCCTTCCTGAATTTAGGGGCCCAGAACTGGACAGAAGACTAGAGTTGTGGCCTCATCAGTGCTGACTACAGGTGGATTATCACTGCTCTGGTCCTGCTGGCCACAACATGAAGGAACTCCTAGGGCTAAGCCAAGCATAGGGACTAAAGTCTTCAACTAAGTTATTTTCTGCCTCTCAAGCAGCCCCAGAGTCTGGACTGTCTGGTGCAAGCCCACCCCTGCAGTCCCTTCCCATTGCTCACCAGCTCCGGGCCAAGCTGTTCCAGATCAGCCGATGCTCCTTCAGCAGCAGTTTCTGGATCACACCCTGCAGCCCCTCATGGTAGTGGCTGGTCAGTGCAGCCTGGGCTGGTAGCACTATGCCTAAGGACAAGGGATGCATCACAGACGAAGGAGAGCCCTGCCCTTGTCCCTGGTGTGGGGCCACAGGGGGTTCTTACCTTCCAGGGCAACATAGGGCAGGCATCTCCCCTCAGCTGCAGACACTAGGGCCGGTAAATCATCATCGACCTGGAGCTTTGGGGCCTCCTGGAAGAGCAGGGACTGAGTGTGAGCATAGGCAGGGGCAGGCAGAGGGCGGGCCAAGCATGGCTCTGTGGAGATCTCTGGCAGGATGTGACCTGCTCAGTCCTTAGTGTCATAATGTTGGCAGAGAATGCAGCAGGCTGCAGCCATCAGTGAGTGCACCCAAATCAAAGGGTGTAGGGCAGTGGGGAAGGGAGAGCGGGCAGGAGAGAACATTTGAGGGATGGGGCTACCTGTATGCGTGCCACAACTTTGGCTTTCTTCCTGTACATGTAGTAGAAAAGGCCAGAGAAGGCAAGGCTGGAGCCCAGACACAGCAGCTCCCCTGGTGTGATGGGGATGTCCATGGCTTGGGCAGCAATGCCTGCAAAGTGAGTGTGTTGGCTGGGGAACAGGGCCATGTCACCCACAAGCAGGGACGTTCCACAGGCCCTTTCCCCAGGGCAGGGACCTCCCTGCACTCCTGTCTCCAGGAACAGGGACATTCCACCATCTCTTTCAGGACATCCCAATGCCCCTTTTCCCAGGGCAGGGACATGCCTGCCCCTCTGTCCCCAGGGCAGGGATTTCCCACTGCCCCTGTCCCCTCAGGGCCAGGCCCGTCCGCGGCCCCGGCGGGGGCAGTTCAGCCCCAGCACCCACAGTTGCCCGATATCCGGCCCGACCTGGCGGCCCCGGCCCAGCCAGGGCCCAGTGCCCACCGTGTATTGCACACAGGATCGGGCCGAGGCCCAGCACCCGTGACCCAGCCCGAGGCCTGGCCCAGGGTACCACCCAAGCCCGTCCAGGCCCGGCGCCCCCGCTCCGGCCCGGCCCGGCCCCGCCGCCGCCCCGGCCCCGCTGCCCCCGTACCCCTGAGGCGCCCAGGCCCGGACCCTGGCCCCTCGGCGCTGCCTGCTGGGAAATGTAGTCCGGCCCTCGCGGCGCGGCGGCGGGGTGGGCAGCGCCCGAACTATCACTCCCAGCATCCCTCGCGCCGAACTACAGCTCCAGTCGCGACTTGCGCCGCCCGCGGGCAGGACCACAACTCCCGGCAGCCCTTGCGAGCGGCCGTGCCAGTCGCCGCAGGTCCCGCGGGGTCCCGGTGCCGGCGGGTCCGAGGGACCCGGTGCGGAGCTGCGGACGGGCTGTGCGGGGAAGGACCGGCCAGGGCTGGCCTCGGGGGCTCCGGGAGGGGACTCGGGGGCGGCTCAGCCCTGGGGCAAGTTGGAGTCACCCGTGCTGGGGGCAGCGGGACTCCCCGGCTGGGCTTTACCGGGAACCCCTGTGCTTCTGACTCGCTCCCCCCGGCCCTGCCGTTCTTCCCCACACCTCTGCTCCCCTCCCTCCGTCCATCCAGACATCTCATCTCCACTCCCCTCCCTCGGTCCCTCGGGATGTCTCAGCTCCCACGTGTCCCCCCAGACTTTGAGTCACCCCCCCCCCCAAGCTCCAGGTCCCACCTCTCTCCCAGCCCCGACACCGCCAAGGTCCCCGAGCTGCTGGAGTAAGTGGAAACTGCTTTTATTCGTTACATAAACTCGGCGCCAGCCACCCACACCTGAAGGCACCAGAGTCCCCGCTGCCGCCCGCTGGTCCCAGCAGAGGTGGATGGGGAAGCCAAGCTGGATCGGGAGGGGACAAGGGAAGTGCGGAGCCGGGTGGCCCCCAGTCTCCATCTCTGGCAGGCTGCGGGGCAGGAGCGGGGGTATCTTGGCTCTAGTGCTTTCCCTGGGACCCCTCTGACCTGCCCACCTGCGGGGGGGATGCAGTGCAGGGAGACGCTGAGCTGTGCCCGACTCAAGCACATCAGGGTTGGGGGCAGAGTTGCGTTTTGGGGGTGCTACAGCCTCTCTGCCGGCCGTGCCCAGCCCCAGGCTGTGGATGGGGCTGCGGTGGGTGCCTGGTCTGGGGCCGTGTGTGCCAGGGGAGGGGGCAGAGGTGGGGTGTGCGGTGTGTGCACAGGAGGGGAACCGCGACAGAGCGTGACCTCCGCTCTCTGCCCGTAGCCAGCTCTAGCAGCCAGGGAGGGCTGGGGGCGGGGGCACAGCGCGGCATTGTCCCCTCTGTCCACAACACCCTCCCCCTCCCTACCACACCTCACAGTGCTTGCCGGGGTTCATGGGGGAGCCCAGGGGGCAGCCGAAATGTTCGACAAAGTCCCGGGAGTTGCTGAGGGTGCCGATGACACGGTACTTGTCGGGGCTGTGGGGGTCGGTCACCAGCCCTTCGTGGGAGCTCTCGGGTGTCCGGACGGAGCACCACACCTGGCGGAGTGGGAGCAGCTTCAGGGATGGGGACAGAACCCCCAGAGCAGCTGTGGGGGGCTGTGGCGTGGCTCTGAGCAGGGAGGGACAGAAAACCCATCACCCCGCTCAGCCCTACCTGCGCAAAGCCCACGAAAAAAAGCTGGTGGTTGGTGAGTCCCAGGGCTGGCAGACGCTTCTCCTCCCCGTTCTTCTGCAGCCAGGACTTGTATGCCTGCGGGAGAGCTGGTCTGAAGCCCCGGGGAGGGACAGACGAGGGAGGAGGGGCGGTCCGTGTCCCCTCCGGGCGGCAGCACTCACGTTGTAGGCTGCCTTGAGCCCGCCGTTGTCAGCGATGTTCTCGCCCAGCGTCTGCCGCCCGTTGACCTTCTCGCTGTGGACGGTGTAGCGGCCGTACTGCTCGGTCATGCACGCCGTCCGGTTCTTGAAGGCCTCCAGGGAGGAGTTCTGCCACCACGGCCGCAGGTTTCCCTCTTTGTCGTACTCTCGTCCTGCGGGACCGAGCCGTGGGGTGGAGTGGGACCAGGGGGTCCCGAAGCAGAGTGGGGTGCGGTGGGAGAGCTCCAGGGGATGCCGGGGGACCTGGCGCCTTGGGTCCATGCCATGGGGGGATGGTGTCCCACAGTCCCTGCTCTGGGCAGGCTCTGTCTGGGTCGCAGCTGTGCACTTGGGTCCCCAGGCATCCCCCGGTGCCTTCCCACTATCCAAACCCAGATCTGTGATCCCACATTCCCCCATTGACCCCATGTCTGCTCCGGGGCTGTGGTGAAGGCACAAAGCAGAGCGGATGCGAGAGGGACCCGCCCCGTGCCCCGCGGGGAGGAGGGTGAGGAGGGGGCCGGGGCTGCAGACACCGTGTCCTCACCAAGCGGATGGAGCGAAAGCTGCACAGAGAAGCCGGGGGGAGGTGTCGGCGGGTGCCACCTGGGGAGACAGGACGATAGAAGGGGGGGCGGCCGGGGGGGCACGAGCACGCACGATGCAATGGATGGCAAAGCGGGACCCCTGTGCACCCAGGGCACCCCTTGCCCATGCCGAGGGCAGGGGCGGGTGTGGGGCTGGGGAGGGCAGGAAAGTAACAGGGGTCGGGGCTGGGGCTACCCATGGGCTCTCACCTTGGTCGTCGAACGCGTGGGTCAGTTCATGCCCCATCACCACGCCGATGCCACCAAAATTAAGGGCTCTGTGGGGCCATGGGAAAGAGCCAGGTAAGTACAGGGTGGGGGGGTGCTGGTGTTGCAGTCTGCCTCTGCCTGGCCACCCCCTCCACGGCCTGGGCACCCGACCAGACTCTGTTCCAGTTGGGACCCAGCTGGGAATGAGTCTTACTGGGGACACTGGTGGCCCCAAGGGGACTTTGCAGGCTGTCTTGGCTGCAGGATGTAAAGCCTTGCGTGATGCTTAAGGCCCCCAGAGCTTTGCTTTGTTACTGTGGGTGGCTCTGTGGCATGCTGGTCCCGATCCAGCCCATGCCCCTCCCATCCCCAGGATGTGTCCCCCATGCCAGGCTCACTTGGGGTGGTTGCGGGCGTAGAAGGGGGCCTGCAGGATGCCGGCAGGGAAGACGATCCCATTCTTGGTGGGCAGGTAGTAGGCATTGACGGTCTGCGGTGTCATGCTCCATCTGGGGCAGGGAGGTGTGACAGGGGACAGGTAAGGCTGTGTCACCTCTCACCCAGCCCACCACCCTCCTGTGCCATCACCCACCATGGCTTCCCTGTGCCACCCTGCCCGGGGCTGGCACTTTTGCCCCCATCCTGTGACCAAGGGATCATGTCCTGGGGACAAGCTACAGCCACTACAGGTGACCCACAGTGCTGTGCTACCCCATGGGGGGACCTCCTCCCCACTGAGCCAGTGCCACCCAGGCACCCCAATGTCACATCCCCTCTGTCTCCCCCAGGCCCTCCCCTTACTGGTCGCGGTTAGGGGGTTTCCGGAGCTGGTCAGCCATCACTTTGGCAGAGAAGTTGTAGAAGTTGAGCATGTTCTGGAAGAAGGAGTCTTCAGAGACCTCGTACTGGTGAGGAAGAGGAGGGATGAGGAGGGGTCCACCGAGATGGTTCCCCACACCCTGGCCAGGATGCATTCAGTACTAGAGTGGCTCTGCACAATGTCCCAAATGCCTGACCTCGCGGCTCTGGCCATGAGACAGTGACATTGCCCCACCATGGGGCCCCCCAGGGCTTGGTGTGAGCAGGGACCAGCCCCCTACCCCATCGTAAACATCATCCAGCTCCTTGTTGTCCAGAATGAAGTCAGGGAAGCCAATCATGTCGTAGATGGCATCTGCCTGCATGGGAGAGGCCCCGACAGTGAGATGGGGGGGCTTACTGGGAGGAGATGAGGTCTCACACCCACTTCCCTCCCTGGAGTCACCTTCTCCTTTGCAGCCTGCCTGGTCTTCTCATCCATCCAGTCCAGCTGGTCCAGAGACACCTCGAAGGCCGCCCGGATCTCGCTAATCATCTCCTCAGCCTGGGGAGGGGAGGGAATGAAGCCCCCCTACCCCCACCAGCCTCTTGGTGGGGAGAGAGTGGACAGGACACAACCTCCCCAGGGCTGGGGGTCCCAATTCCCAGCTCCCCACCTTCCAGCCCTGGGACTGGGGGGGAAACAGGATTCCCAAGGATGGTGATGGGGAGGGGGTGGGGGCAGAAGTGTCCTCACGATGGCCTTGCTGTCCCGGTCAAAGGTGGCTTTGACGAAGAGGGAGCCCAGGGCAAAGCCCAGTGTGTCATCCGTGTTGGAGATGCAGGTTTGCCAGCGGGGTGTGCAGGACTGTGGGAGCAAGATGAGGGTCTGTGAGATGCCCAGCTCACTCCCCTGCTCCTCTCCCTTCACCCAACCTGACTCAGCCTCCTCACCAGAGGGGAGATGCTCAGCAGTTATACCCCCATCCCAAAAGATGATCCCTGGCTTCCCTCTGCAGCATCCAGGGCTTAGCATCCCAAGGGCATCCCAAGGGCATCCCAAGGGCAGAGGAGGTCCTGGCTGCTTCCAGGCCAGGAGCAGAGGGGGCTGGTCCCAGGATCCACTGTTACCTTCCTGGTGCCATAGAGTGTCTCCAGCAGCCTCTCCTGGGCTGTCTCAAAGCGCTGATCCAGGCTGGAGACCGTTTTCTGCACCAAGTTCCAGATCAGGTAGTTGTTCAGGATGCTGCAAGAGCAGAGAGATGCCACATCTTACCACAATCTGTGGGGATGTGCCAGACTCCGAGCCACTGACGAGTCCAAAATGTGCCCCTGCCATGGGGGGGGGCACGGCTGAGGGCACGCAGGAGCCTCACCTCCTGTCAGTGTCATTGATGAGGTCAGAGACCTGCTGGAGGTAGGTGTCCCCATACACCACCACGGGCTCCGTGTCTGCCAGCTCCAGTGGGGCCAGGGAATAGGACAGATAATCCAGCCAGTCAATGGCAGGGGCCAGCACCTGGAGGGGACATGAAGATGTGGCACCGGGGGGAGTATCCCCTGGGGCAGGGGGCTGTGCTCTCTGGGAAGGTCCCAAGGTCCCTCACCACACCAGATCCCTCACTGCCACCAAGCACCCTTCCTGTTGCTCTTAATGCTGCAGGACAA